CCCCAAAACCCCAAAACCCCAAAACCCCAAAACCCCATAACTTGAGAAATAATTGATTTTATAGTATTTCAAAGTCATCTTCGATTTCACCTTCTATATCGATCGGCATAGGTGCTTTAGAATCTCTGAGCCCGATGAGATAATCATCAGGGAATAGCTCTTTCCATAAGCTAATTGTTTGAATAAACTTTTCCACACTTTCTTCATTATTCAGGTAGAAGCAGAAGGCCATTGTGGTATCAAGTTGATGCCATTTAAGATGCTTATGTTTTATAGTGCGATATGTCTTTAACGTCTCCTCAGTTATCTCATTTACTCACTTTTGAGTCGTGTGGGGATCAAGAGTTAGGACACCAGACCTATTGAAACCGATATAGTACATTGCTGCATGTCTTTTCCCTCCAAGAATGCCTATTCAGTCAGGATAGAGAAGGACTTCTTTCAATTGAGGGATATATGCTTTATCTACCTTCTCTAGCCCTACTCTTAGGGGTATAGAGATCAAAAATGACCTATCATTCTCAGGATCTTCGTTTATAAGATCAGATTTATACACAACTCCTTCGTTAAAAGTTACAAAACCCAAGGTTTTCTCAATATGAGTGTTATACATTAAATGCACTTCTTTCATGACCTGAGATATAGAGTGAGCTCCGTACCACTGGCCTGGTCCTTTGTCAATAATTTCCTTGCCCACTTTCAAAATGTTCCGGATGCTCATAGGAGCTTCAAAATCTTCACCGTTATCTAAGAATAGAGGGAGGATAGTCTCAAAATGCTGCTGGATCGTAAATTCGTTAAATCGGTACTGATTATGCTTCACAAAGGCGTGAGCACACATCATTTGAGCAACACGGATCATGCATCCCCATCCTTCATCAGACTTGTAGCCATTAATTGACTTCATGCCTTTCCTGTAAGTAATCCAAGGGATCTGGGAGACAAGTTTATTCAAGTAAGTCTGGGATTTTACAATCTCTAGACGGCCGATTAGGTATCATTCTTCTTCTATTTCGAATCCTATTAACTTCAGAATCACCTGAATTACTCCCAATCTAGTCCTTTTCTCTGGAGAAAGAAATTCAAAGTTGTTTTCATATTCTTTACAATGGATTTTTGGATGAATTTGATAGCTCAACTTCTCCATGCTTAGTTTGAGTAAATAGTTCAATTTTTATCTAAAGGTTTGGGGTTTTGGGGTTTTGGGGTTTTGGGGTTTTGGGG